GGGGAGGGGTTCTCAAGGGAGAAAATATGGTAACGGAATACATAGGTTTTTCTCGGGAGAAATTCAAAAATAGCCAGATTTACAAGTGGTCATTCAAAAATAGCCATAGTTTCAAAAGTTATCGAAATTCAGCCATTTTTCATGTAAAGATAAATTTGAACGAAAACACTGTTTAAAATCTGAAAAATACTCCAGTATATTATACTGGAGTTCCAGCAAAGTATACCGGTCCAACAAAATATGCTGAAAGTTCATACACAGGTGCACCGAACTCCAGTATATTATGCTGGACCAGTCTCTGTTGCAGCAAAATAGTGGTTATTTTTTAATGACTTGGCAAATGCTGGCTATTTTTGAATGACCAGTCCGAAAACTGGCTACCCCGTACTATTTTAAAGTTGTTCTCCTTTGTCCCAAGAAGATCCAATTAGGGATGGCAATCGAGCGGGGCGGGGCGGGTTTGAAAAAACCCACAAAAAATTTAACCCGCCCCGCCCTGCCCCATATAGTTATTTTTTTAGTTTTCAACCCTCCCTGCCCCACTTAATTTTTTTCTTTTTTCTTTAATTTTTTTCTAGAACAAACTAGTTTGACATTTTATTATTTTATAAAAATGAAAAGTTTAATAAAATCACATAAACATAAAACTGAGATAGTATTACGCTGATCTTTCAAAATAAATGGGTTATTATCATTTCCTATTATTAATACGATATCTTGACTTATGTAATATCATTTTGGTGAGACTTATGCAAATTGGTTAATTATAAATCAAAATAATATTCGTGCTAGTGAAGAATAATGTGAAATTGTAGTTGTAATGGTTGCTTTGTTTCAAAAAAGATAAAATTCAAAGTTGCCCCGCATTAAACCCGCAACCCGCTCTGCTTTAAAAAATTTAAAAATTATTTTAACCAGCCATGCCTCGTATCCGTCCCGCCTCGTTGCCATCCCTAGATCCAATCCACAACAACAAAAAGGAGAGGGGTATGTAGCAAAATACAAAAGGTTGGTTTATATCATTGTACGTATGTATGTATGATAATCAGGACAAATTGTAAGAAATTTCGTGTTTGGAACAATTGAATATGTGGACTATAACTGAAATAGTTACGACATCAGAAATGGTTAATAGCAAAGGCATTAGAAGACTAAAATAGAAAGGTCATTGAGCTTTTATAACAAGTGAATATGAGGACTGCAGACACTTCATCTCTAGTTTTAATTCAACAACTTAAATTATAAGATTAAAATAGAAAGGTCGTTGTCTCGTTGAGCTTGCAAATGTCAAACTGCCAGACAACATTCGGCCTATAGTACAAGTTGGAGTTATTTTTCTAGCTTATTATCACAAAAGATCTGCACCATTCTCTCATAAAATAAAAATAAAAATAAAAAAGAGAGGAGAGAATGATAGTATTAGAAAAATAGTCGGTGTTTGAAAATTCTTTGAAAGTAGTCACCTTTAATATGAAAATTCGAACTTAAACCAGTAAACAAATTCAGGATATTGTGTTGATTTTTGAAATCCTTGATAGTGTCATTGATTCCGAACTCTAAAAGTGAAACTCGTTCACCATTTTAAGTGCGAAATCAATAACACTGTCATGAATTAAAAAATATGGCTATTTTTCAAAGATTTTTGAATCTAGCAAAAAAAAAGAGAAGAAGACTATATTCAATTACAAGGTCGAGAAATGGCTAGTTTTTTAACTTTTAACTTTTCCGAACAAAAAGGCCCAAAATGGGATGTATTATATTAAGAAGAATTAACATAAATAGCCGCTCACCCAACCATTTAAATTAAAAATAGCATGTGGATATATAATATATGTATAATTTATGTATTAAATGGGTATAACTATGTATAATTAATATATAATTTATGTATATGGCTGGAAATAGTAAACAATAAATATAACCGGCTATTTACGTAAAGATTCCATGTAGCCCCAATAGAATGAGGAACAAAGCCCATAAATACGGCCCATCTCCAATCTCCATTTCAGATTCCGTCCATAGCTCCGTTGATTCCAATTTCGACCTTTTCATATTCTTTGCTTTCTCCGGTACGCCTGCAGGTTCCTCAATAAAGGCTCTGAAACCCTAGATCTCCGTCATCGACCAGAATTCACAATTTTTCGAAGGTTTGATTCCCTAATTCTATCATGCTTTATATTCTTTCTTATTTTGGGAAAATTTAGCTGATTTTGGTTTAGATATTATGGAAATCTACGTGTGTTTTGATATGGTATTCTTATATATTCTCACAGTATGCTCAATTTGGAATCAAGTGGTAGTTATCGTGAATATGAAGTGATCCAATAGTGAAAAATTGTTGCTTGATTTGGTTTCTATAAAAAACGTAGTAATTCAGCTGGTAAACCAGCTGACCATGCTTGTCAATAATTATAATGCAGCTTATTCTACCCTATGAATATTGCTGCCATGAGGTCACGGGTTTGTGAAAGATTTGTGAAGGGGAGTCTCGGCGTAACTGGTAAAGTTGCTGCCATGAGGTCACGGGTTCAAGTCGTGAAAATAACCTCTTGCAGATATGCAGGGTAAGACTGCGTACAATAGACCCTTGTGATCCGGCCTTTCCCCGAACCCCGTAGCGGGAGCTTAGTGCACCGAACTGCCCTTTTTAATTCTACTCTATGATTCCTTGGAGGCAACAATTTTGGTCTAATATATTGCACATGTTGTTATATATACATACACATATCAGTTTGATATTCTGATGGATACCATGTATATGTGAACATTACGATAGATATATGTATATTTGATTGGAGTTCTTTCTTTATAAATGATAATGTGCTTTAAACATTTTACATCAAATATAAGATGCTTGAGGGGTGCTAGTGTGCTACCTACTCGAGCTGCACTAAATTTTACTCATTTGGAATCAAGTAAATTTTGTATTAAGGAAAGTAAATTTTGCTCATTTGGCGTGAAGCGGTTGCACTATGTACAGCAAAAACAATCTCTGTGTTACAATACTATTCATATATTCAAAAACTAAGGGAGTTGATACAATTCGGGAAGAACCTCTATGTTATTTATGAAATCTACTTTACGCCAAATACCTAAATGATTTAAATGTTTGGCTCTCACTGAGGTGATACTGCCTTCGAACAAACCTGCAATTCCTTTCTTTCCTGAATAGACCAGATTATAACAGCAGGGTACATTGATCCAAACTATCGTGAGTTTCTTCTTTGCCTTCACTAAATAAAAGCTGTTAGCTACTTCCGTCAAAGTACCTGCCACAACCCATTTATCCCCCTAATGCTTAGTTATATGTTCCAGATCTCTCTACCACTATACTGTATGTTTGTTGCTTATTTATGTAGTCCTTTGCTCTGGGTATTTAATTTATGATGTTATGGCCCGAAAAATGGGTCCTCGTTTTCGACTAATTTGTATTTGGGCTCATTTTTATCCTTCTCCTTCATGGACTTAGGGCTGTGACTTATGCTTCGAATGAATTCCGCAAAGACGGTTTTTGTTCAGTAGCAACACTAATTAACTTTTCATCATTAAAATACATTAGAATGCTGACAATGAGGTCCTTGTTTTCTTCTAATTTGTATTTGGGCTCATTTTTATCCTTCTCCTTCATGGACTTGGGGGCTGTGACTTATGCTTCGAATGAATTCTGCAAAGACGGTTTTTGTTCAGTAGCAACACTAATTAACTTTTCATCATTAAAATACATTACAGTGCTGACAATGAGGTCTGTTCAAATCTTAGCGGAGACAAGAAAACACTAGGTGATTTCTTTCCATCTGCCAAGTCTTGTTGGCTGAGTTATCTGGTACGTTCGTTGGGGTATCAAACCAGAACGAACAAAAATGTTGAATTGAATCGTACCAATCTCTACTGGAGGTTATTCAGAGTAATAGTTGAGGTGCGCACAAATTGGCCCGAACGCCACTGTCATGGAAAAAAAAAAAGAAAAAAGAATTTCTCTATATCTGTTTCACTCTTTTTAGGGCCACTTTGTTTCCAATAATACCAGTTTCTCTGCTTGCGCAATTTGTTATATGAAAAGTTATTAGTAACTGCTTCCATTGATCTTCAAGTGTTTAATAGCTGTGTATTTACGCAATTGCTTTATTTATTTACATGTTATTAACCTTCTAAGTTGCATTGTTGGGTCATTCTGAACACAATTTAGCTGATTTAGAAAGATTTTACAAATAAGTGAGATATGAGAACAGATTCTTGTGAAAGGAGATACTGATAATATTACAACATAATTCAGGCTATGGGCTTGTGGACATTGCTCGAGGGCTGCTTACTTCTTGCAAATGCACTTGCGATATTGAACGAAGATCGTTTCCTTGCTCCAAGAGGATGGAGCTTCCAGGAATATTCAGGGGTTAGAAGAAATTCATTCAAGGGCCAGCTACTTGGTCTTATTTATGCAACTCAATATCTGAGAGTTCTTCTCATACTCCTTAACACACTTTGTATTGTTGTAAAGTTTGTATCTGGATGATGATTCTTGCGTGAGGTATGCTTGTTTAACTTTGTTGCTACATTTTGGGATTGATGTGTGTATTTGGACCATTATTTCTGAGAGTCCATTCAAGGGCCAGCTACTTGGTCTTACTTATGCAACTCAATATCCGAGTGTTCTTCTTATACTCAACACACTCTCTATTGTTGTCAAGTTTGTATCCAGGTTATGAATTATGGGTGAGGTATGCCTGTTTAACTTGGTTGCTACATGTCAAGATTGAGTTGTATTTGGAAAATAATTTCTGGTTACAAATTAACAAAAGGATCGGTTGACAAGCATTCTGGGGAGTAATTAGAAATTGCTTTTCAACCCTCTAGGATTTACAGTGGGTGATATCCGGAGGCTACATTGTAGCATTTTTCTACTTTCTCTCATTTCCTTGGGTGGGAAGTGGG